GATCGATAGTTTGTTCGTTTAGAGTGGCATACCCAGGCGGGCGCGTGATTCTTCCTGCATCTATCCTGGAGCTGGGTGGTAGGAGGACGGCAGGGAGGCGCACGGTGCGTGTTGGGTTCTGTTGCCATTTGTCGGTCAGCAACCCGAAGATCCCCGTTCCATTCGGCGTCCTGCTATTTGCTTTGTAGTGGTTTTTTATTTTTCCATTTTTCTGACGCATACTGTTCGTCCAGGTGATTTTCTCGAAAAGCCTTGGCGATATATCCACGGGAGCGTTCCATGTTCGATTGATATTTTTTCCATACATCATTTATATTTCCTTCCACACTCGATTAATTTTTTTACACTTACAAATCCAAAGTTGAACCCAGACGGGCGTCATTTTGCCTACATCTATCTAGGACCTGAGTGGGAGGAGGAAGGCAGGAAGGCGCACGGTGCGCATCGGGTTTACCTACTAGCGTCTTCAAGCCTCTGAAGCTGTAATCCGAAAGTCCCCCGTTCGACTCGGGGTCCTGCCGTTCAAGCCATTGGTGGTTTTTTTTTCCTCTTTTTTTCTCTGGCGGTTTTTTTTTCGGAAAGACTTTACACACGATACCCACAGGAGATGACGTTGAGTTCCACGCTCGATTGATCTTTTTGGATCGATAATTTGTTCGTTTACATTAATTACAGTGGCAAACATTAATCTGAACCCAGGCGGGCGCATGATTCGATTCTTCCTGCATCTATCCTGGGGCTGGGTGGTAGGAGGAAGGCAGGAAGGCGCACGGTGCGGTTGGGTTTGTGCAATGAGTGGCTCTTGTTCAATAGCCCGAAGGTCCCCGTTCGACTCGGGGTCCTGCCACCAAGCCTTCTACATAGTTCTCTCCACGGGCATTTTTGTCCGCTTGAGAGTCTATACTTAGTAACGTGTCGCACATATGCATCACTGGCTGACAATCCACAAGACCGGACTGGCTTTAATCCGGTGGGTTCGAGACTGGTGAGTTCGAGACCGTCTTCAACCAGGCCCGTTCGAATTATTCACAGTCATAATTTGTGCAGTTCTTGGCTCAACATTTTTCGTGGACGCGTATGGCACTCATTCGTCGACCAGCAGTGTACTCATATAAGGACTGAGGAAATAAGGCACGAAGGCGCACGGTGCGTGTTGGGTTCTTGTGACTATGAATTTCAACCGGACGCCGCATCGGAAAACTCGTATTTCATTGAGCATTTAACAGTTAAATAAATCCCCAGAGTTTCACAGTATGGAAGGAATCAAATTTCCAAAACGTACGAACAACCGTAAATAAATATCTATCACCTATCCGTTATATGGCTTGATGATCAGAGGCATCTGAGTTCCCATCTCCCGCTCGGCCAGCACAATCGGGCGTTGCAGCGACGTTGCCGTTGTCCGCCCAATGGACCCCTTTGGATGGACATTCTCAGACGTGAACGCGCGCACCAGGCTGAAAAGGAGCGCTTTCTCCTCTGCAATCGAGAACCGAAATCCGATGCAGCTGTGCGAGCCGGCGTAGAAAGTGAAGGTATTGGCGTATACGGACAAGATGCTGCTGACCGCCGCATCGTCTCGTGTACCTTGAGAAAAGTAAGCCCCACATCCAAGACTTAATGAAATTGTCTCGCGTACGACGTTCTCGAGGTAGGGCAACGAATTCAGCTCATCATAGTTCGGGCGCTCAGATGGCGCAGACAAGAGTTCCTGGCGTAGCTTATCTTGGATTTCATGATTCAATGACAGTGCGTGGCGTATCCAAAGTGCGGGAGCGCGCTCTCGGGCCGCGAGGCGAGGAAGATGCGGCGCCCGCTCCACACGCTCCGCCCAACCGCACTCACGACACCACAGCGCCTTGCCACCGCGTGCGTGCGTGGGGCGCCGGCGTGGGACGACAAAATAATTACAGAGGAACACATCCCGCGCGCCCAGACGCAGCGAAGGGCCGTGGAATCAGACCCGCAACGGGCGCGGTGTGCCCAAGGTGCGGTCATGCTGGTGATGCGCCCTAACACAACGAAGCCTTTCACAGCGCCGGCGGACGCGACGAAGATGCGGACTCATCCCGCTCCACACGTACCCACGAACCCACAGGCACCGTTCGCGACGCCACGGCGCCTTCCTGGGTGGGCGCGGACGACAAAATGATAGAAGAGGCGCACATCCCCACGCCCGCCATATCTTCGCCGTGCACCAGTACTCCCCGCGCCGTGAAAATCCTCAGGCGTATCCACACCGTCGTTGTGTCCGCCCGTTCCATGCGCACCCGTCCGTCCTCTCCGCGTGCGTGGTGGGCACGCGGCGGGACGACAAGAGCTGGACAGAGTCCGTGCACGGAGACAGCTAAGGCAGGGGCGGAGCAGTGGGATCAGGGTCGCGGGCACGGTGTGCCCAAGGTGCGGGAGCGTACGCGCCCGTGCGTGGTGGGCGCCGGCGCGGGACGACAAAAGCATGGTGCGTCCCCCACACCCTGGATATGTACCCGGAAACAGCAAAGGTGTGCATGCAGCGACAGTGAGATCAGACCCGACTCGCAAGGATAGCAGAGTGTGGTGTGGGCAGGCAACGCTCTCGCGCCGTGGTGGGCGCGGGACGTGGGTGAAAAAGATGCCCAGAGGAACACATCCCCCGCGGCCGTACACGGCGACGGCGTGCACGCAGCGATAACAGGATCGTCGCAAGGAGAGGGGAGCGCAGTGTGGCCAAGAGGCCTGGATATGCGTCATGACACTGCGTGGGGATGGAGCGCGCAACGATAGTGGGGCCAGACTCGGCGCGCGAAGATAGCGGAGCGCGGTATGCTAACAGCACGGTCGGCGCGGGACCGCACGGCGGACAGGCTACTCGCCCGAGTCGTGGCGATGCGCCTGCCCAGACACAACGATGATGTGCAGGGCGCAGCGCGCAGCCAACGACAGTGGAATCAGAGTCGCGGGCGCGGTGTACACAAGGTGCGGGAGCGTACGGCGTGCAGGACGCGCGGGCGCGGTGGTGGGCAGCGGGACGCGGGCGACAACAGGGACGGAGGAGCACATCCCCCGCGCCATAGATATGCGCCCGGACACAGTGAAGACGTGCAGGGGAGGAGCAGTGGGATCAGACACGCAAGGGCGGTGTGCTCAAGGTGCGGGAGCGCGCTCCCGAACCGTGGTGGTGCATCGGGACATAGTGACAGCGAGGGGATGGTGCGCACGGCGACTTTGGACCCGGGGAAACTGCGACGACTGTGACGCCACAACCGCGTCTATCGAGTTTCAAGGCGAGTGGGACCGTGCGCCGAGGAAGGCGACGCTCCCCAGCCGAGAGTCGATATTCAGGGATGGCATTGCTCGGCGACGGAGGATGTATTAGGCAGCGCGGTCTGCGAATATTGTTATCAGTGTGTACCTCTGTACGGAAAATTTGAATACGCGCCTTGGGTATTAGCACGGGTGGATAAACGTCGTGTCACGCGTGCGTGCCTGGATTCCGCCGTGGGGGCGAAAGGGAGGGGCGGGGGGAAGAGTCCGGGTTGTGCATGTCCGAAGTCTGTGGCATCCGGTGCGTAGTCGCGAAGTGAGTTGAACGACGTTAGGTTGGTGAATGCGCCGCATTTTCTGAGGGGAATCGGCCGCGCGTCATGGTTTGGACTAAAAAGACTACGGCGGGGTGCCTGGAGTAGTCGAAGCCTCTAGCAGCTCTGGATATCCGCGCAGGACTCCAACAACGTGTAAGCAGATTCCTTATATACACATACTTCCTTCACCACAAGTGGCCCATGGCCAGAGACGGCAGGAAATGGAGGAAATCCCAGTAGAGCCCAATTGCACGTTGATCGGCCCATCATGTTTCGTGCAGCGTGGGCGCGCTCCGAGTCCTCAGGCCTCAGAGTCAGGGGAGGACGAGCAAGCAGAGATTTTGAGGTTGATTGGGAAGAAAAAGAAACGTAATTGGTCATCCAGGGAATGCCGGCTGCTCTCTCCAAAACCATCTTGAGGTTCGAGCTGGGAGTTTCATCTCGTTCGAGTAAGTAGTTGGGAACGACGACGGTGTGCGCGTTGGGTTTACTCGAGTCCTCGTTACGTGCGAGCTCTAAACCTGTTTTTCTTCTTAGTATTTACACGCTAGTGAATACGGTCCCCGGGCGGGGCTCCTGCTCAACTCCTCATTCTTTTTGGCTTCTAACCAGGGATTTAACAGGGGAAAAGAGGCAGGAAGGCACACGGTGCGCATCGGGTGTGCATGGACTAGTTCTTTGAAGTTCTTTAGCCGTCAACCCGAAGATCTCCGTTCGACTCGGGGTCCTGCCATGAAACGGATCGCTGAACCTTTTTATTTATATTTCTTGCATCAGTACCCAGCCCTGTGCGTGCGCTATCCTGCGTGCACGCTTTATTGCGAAGGGCTTACAAGTCTTGATTTTTTTCTACTGGTATGTAAATCTGAGCCTACACATTGTTCACACTTATCCTAGACTGAATACCAGAAATGCGCATTCAGTCGACGTTTTCCCCTTCAGCCAAATAAATGATCCGAAACAGATCTGAACAGCGTACAGATATCTCTGTTTTCCATGGTGTGTTTCGTGGTACTCTCAGCTGTGTAGTTCTAATTTATGCGGCGTCAACTTGCCAAACAGGTAAACATTTTTTGGGGGCTCATTACCCGGTATTGAGTACTAGAAACATGGCAGGAAGGCGCAGGGTGCGCATCGGGTTTGTGTACGTCTATTTCGTGCGCAATAGCCCGAAGGTCCCCGTTCAACTCGGGTCCTGCTATTCCAGGCGCATTGCAGTTTTTTTTTCTTTCTTTCTATTTTTCTGACGGCGTTTCGGCATGCTGTTCGTCCACACATAGGGTTTTTCTCTCGGAAAGATTCGGCGACAGTGACGAGTGAGTTCCATGTTCGATTGATCTTCTTTCCACACTCGATTGAGTTTTTCTTTCTTTCTTGAATCTGAACCCAGGCGGGCGTGATTCTTCCTGCACCTATCCTGGAGCTGGATGGTATGAGGAAGGCAGGAAGGCGCACGGTGCGTGTTGGGTTCTGTTGGATTACCCTCTCGAGCATCAGCCCGAAGGTCCCCGTTCGACTCGGGGTCCTGCCATTCGTCGCAGGTTAGGCACTTTTTGCTCTTCTTTCCTTGCTCCATTCTTCTTGATGTCATACTTTCAAGACAGGCCTCAGACTATATGTATGTATCTTCGCGGCGCAAATGGTGAGTTCCATCATGGTGATTCTCAGCAATGGAACTTACCTGGACTCGTGAGTTTTTACACTGCCGAATCGCGGCCGTCATTTTGCCTACATCTATCCTGGGCCTGAGTGGGAGGAGCAAGGCAGGAAGGCACACGGTGTGCGTTGGGTTCTGTTGGATCCCTCTCTCGAACATAAACCCGAAGGTCCCCGTTCGACTCGGGGTCCTGCTATTCCATGCCCCGCCGTAGATTTTTTATTTTTCTACTTTTCTGACGGCGTTTCGGCATGCTGTACGTCCATAAATAGGGTTTTTTCTCTCGGAAACATTCGGCGATAGTGACGGGTGAGTTCCATGTTCGATTGATTTTCTTTCCATACTTGATTGAGTTTTTCTTTCTTTCTTGAATCTGTACTCAGGCAGGCCTGATTCTTCCTGCATCTATCCAGGACCTGTCTCTCGGAAACATTCGGCGATAGTGACGGGTGAGTTCCATGTTCGATTGATTTTCTTTCCATACTTGATTGAGTTTTTCTTTCTTTCTTGAATCTGTACTCAGGCAGGCCTGATTCTTCCTGCATCTATCCAGGATCTGTGTGGCAGGAGGAAGGCAGGAAGGCGCACGGTGAGCGTCGGGTTTACTTGTCGTTCCGAAGCTGCAACCCCGTTCGACTCGGGGTCCTGCCGTTCAGCATGCCGATCAGGTTTTCTTTTACTCTTTTTTTTTCTGACGGTTTTTTTTCTCGGAAAGACTTTACATACGATACCGAGTTCCACGCTCAATTGATCTTTTTGGATCGATAATTTCTTCGTTTACAGGGGCAAACATTAATCCGAACCCAGGTGGGCGCGTGATTCTTCCCGTATCTATCCTGGAGCCGGGTGGCAGGAGGAAGGCAGGAAGGCGCACGGTGTGCGCGCTGGGTTCTGTTACAGCCTCTCATTGCTCGATGGCCCGAAGGTCCCCGTTCGGCTCGGGGTCCTGCTATTCCATGTCCTGCCGTAGATTTTCTATTTTTCTGACGGCGTTTCGGCATGCTGTTCCACAAATAGGGTTTTTTCTCGGAAAGATTCGGCGATAGTGACGGGTGAGTTCCATGTTCGATTAATATTTTTTCCATACATGATTTATATTTCTTTCCACACTCGATTGATATTTTTTACACTAAAAAATCCGAAGTTGAACTACGAAGCATATCAGAATCAATGAAGCATGAAAAATTGAATCCTACATACTGGTCCTAACGAGCAATAATAATCTTGTCGAAGGCCTCCTTGTCGATGAGGGAGCGAACGTGCGCGAAGAGGGAGGGAACGTGCCAATGGAGCTTGTAGTCTAAGTCGCCGCCATTCTTGCTCCATTCCGGCACCATCCGGGCGGTGCTTTCGCACCAACCACAACGAGAGCGCAAAATACGCCTGATGAATGTCAGAATAAATTAAGGACATCTGCATCAACAGGCGAACCGACCTGGATAGTCACCCATGGCCAGTAGATGATGTCTGTCTTCATTCGAATAATGCTCACGTTTCAATGGCTTCTCTTCCCTTGTGGAAGCCACCACCGCGCGCGGATACAAAGCGAGGGCGTGCAGGGGCGGAGCACGCAGCCAGCGACAGTGGGATCGGACTCGACGCGCGAGGATTGCGGAGTGCAGTGTGCCCAAGAGCACGGTCAGTGCGGGAGCGTGCGGCGGGTAGGCTACGCGCCGAGCCCAGAGACAGCGAAGGCGTGCCGGGGTGCAGGCGTGCAGCCAGCGACAGTGGGATCAGCCTTGCGGCCATGGTGTACGCTAGGTGCGGGCAGGCCGCGCGCGCGCGCCATGGTGTGCAGCGGGGCGCGAGACGTGGGCGACAAAAGCATGGCGGAGGAGCTACGTCGCGCACCCGGGCAGCGATAACGTCATCAGACTCGCGAGCGCGGTGTGTCCAAATTCCGGGAGCGCGCTCTCGGGCCGCGACGCGAGGAAGATGCGGTGCCCGCTCCACACGCTTCCTCCAACCGCACTCACAACACCACGACGCCTTCCCACCACGGGCGTGCGTGGTGGGCGCAGGACGCCGGCGTGGGACGACAAAGGATTGCAGAGGAACATATTTCACGCACCGGGACGCAGCGAAGGTGTGCAGGGGCGGCGGAGCCGTGGAATCAGACCCGCAACGGGCGCGGTGTGTCCAAGGTGCAGTCAGGCTCGTGATGCACCCTAACACCGCGAAGGCTTTCACAACATCGGCGGACGCGAGGAAGATGCGGACTCATCCCGCTCCACACGGACCCGCCAACCCACAGACACCGTTCGCGACGCCATGGCAGTGGGATCAGACTCGCAAGGCAGTGTGCTCAATGTGCGGGAGCGCGCTCTCGAACCGTGGTGGTGCACCGGGCGCACGGCAACTTTGGACCCGGGGACACCGCGACGACTGCGACGCCACAACCGCGTCTATCGAGATTCAAGGCGGGTGGGACCGTGCGCCGAGGAAGGCGACGCTCCCCAGCCGAGATTCGATATTCAGGGACGGCACTGCGCGGCGACGGCGGATGTATTAGGCGGCGCGGTCTGCGAATATTGTTATCAGCATGCCTGTATGTACCTCTGCACGGAAACTTTGAATACGCGCCTTGGGTATTAGCGCGGGTGGGCCATCTAAACGTCGTGTCGCGCGTGTGTGCGTGCCTGGATTCCGCCGTGGGGGCGAAAGGGAGGGGCGGGTGGCGGAGTCCGGGTTGTGTATGCCCGAAGTCTGTGGCATCCGGTGCGTAGTCGCGAAGTGAGTCGAACGACGTAGGTTGGTGAGTGCGGCGCGTTTTCTGAGGGGAATCGGCTGCGCGTCGTGGTTTCGTGCAAAGACTAAAAAGACTACGTCGGGGTGCCTGGAGTAGTCGAAGCCTCTAGCAGCTCTGGATATCCGCGCAGGACTCCAACAACGTGTAGGCAATTGCCCGTTAATCGCCCCGATTCCATTTCACGGAACCCAGTAGTAGAGCATCATGTCTCGTGCGGCGTGGGTCAACGGAGGACGAGCAAGCAGAGATTTTGAGGTTGGTTGGGAAGAAAAAGAAACGTGATTGGTCATCCGGGGAATGCCGGCTGCTCTGTCTCACCAGAGTTTCATCCCGAGTCGCCGACAGTGTGCGCGCTGGGTTTACTCGAGTCCTCGTTACGTGCGAGCTCCAAACACGTTTTTCTTCCTCTTAGTATTTATTTACACGCTGATACGGGGCGGGACTCCTGCGCAGTGTTGCTCGACTCCTCATTACTTTTTGGCCTCCTGACCAGGAATCTAACAGGAGAAAAGAGGCAGGAAGGCGCACGGTGCGCGTCGGGTGTGCATTGATCAATTCTGTTCTTTAGCCTTCAGCCCGAAGGTCCCCCGTTCGATTCGGGGTCCTGCCACCAAGTGGATCGAGTATATACCAAACTCGTAACGTAGGTACATTAGAGACCACGGCACATTAATGCAAACTCGGTACATTCACATCAATGTGCCGACTTTGAGAGCATGCACGGCACTTCCCCTTTCGGTATGTACCGAGTTTAGGCAAATGGCCGCCTCGGCAGTGCACATGGGTCATGGCACCGCATTTTCCACTTTTTCTTCCTACGTCCACCATCCTCTCCCCAACACGCCCCTGACGCGACGAAAGTGCGACACAATGCCTCCCAATCCCGATGCAAGGTCACCAGCGGACCAAGAATACCTTGACAGCGTGTGTTATATCCATGCGCTCCAGCTATGGGTGTCCTCCATTTTCTAGGCATTTCAACCCTTTTTTCATTTTTTGTACCAATCTTTCATCCACCCATGCATTCTTACACTTCACATTTACTTCTAGTCACTTCACCACCTTCTGTTCTTCTGCTCCTTCACTCCTCCGCTCCTCCGCTCCTCCGCTCTTCCACTCTTCTGCTCCTCCACTCCTCCGCTCCTCCGCTCCTCCGCTCCTCCGCTCCTCCGCTCCTCTGCTCTTCTGCTCTTCAACTCATACACCTCCGCTCATTGCATCCTCTTACCTATCATCAGGGTTTTCACGCAATGAAGGCTTACTGAGCATTTCCTGTTTATCCGTCTTCTTCTTATTGTTCTTATTGTCTTGAGATACTTATCACTTCCCCTCCTCCATTTAGAAGTACCACCTTATTGTCCTTATTGTCTTTCACCAGAGCACTCAATACTTAACCGCATTAGTGATTACAATTAACTACTTAGTATATATGCGCTCTAGATACTTCCTGTACTTCATCTGGAAAATTAATGTTATTCCATGTTTCCGCTCATGGACTGAGACCATCTTTTAATCCTTTCACTCCTTGTCTCGACTCCAGGTTTATATCCTAGAAACTCTGGATGTCTTCCTTCAAGCAATACTCTTCCTAATAATTCCTGCCGGCCTAGGCAGAGTGCTCGCCCATAATCCTCTTGTGGTGTTGCCTTCTGCTTACCGACAAACCCTGTCTTCTGCCTTCCGCTCTATGTTGGAAGCGGGACGATAGGCTTCGCTGGATCACCCAGATTCACCTTGTCTTTCTACCATCTTTCTCTTCATCCTTATGTTTCGACTTCACATCCAGTGTTCCTCTGGGTGTCTTATTCTGAATTCCGACTTTACCTACTTCATTCTGCATTCCGACTTCATTCCACATTCCGACTTCATTCCACATTCCGACTTCATTCCACACTTCACCTTCTTTCCGCCTTAGGGTCTGTTTCCATCCTTGGAACAGGTCACATCTTGTCCCGGCTCGATAGCCAGACAGTCGCACACCCTGCTGAGTGTGGTGCTTGCGAAAACAGCTGACTTACCTCCTATCCTTTCTGCAGTCCACATTTATTCCGCCACGTTCTGCACTGATTCTGCCTTCGGAATCCCAAAGGACTATTCTAGTCTTCCTCTGGCTCAGGATATAACAGCGTGTCGGGGCGTCAATTGATGGAATATCGTAACTTCGTACGTACTCTACCGCGCCGCGACCTTTTCTTGAGGTTTTACGCGTTTGCGCAGGTTTTCGCGCCGGGATACATCACACTCAACACTGCAAAGGTCCTGGATGATAAATGGGTTGACATTGGGAACTTGAGAAATTACCTGGGGCATCTGAACGCGTCGGCTCACCCAGGACTGCCAAGTTCTGATGTGGTCTACGTCAAATCAAAGCTCCCATCCCGTCGGTGAAACTACATCCCGTTAAATTAGAACTGCAAGCCCTCAGCGTTCCCAGTATCCTAGATACTGTCAAGACGCGCACTTTGCACGAGGATGGCCACGAGGTTTTTGAGCTTCTTTCGGACTCGGATTCGGAACCAGAGCTTGATGTTCACGGCTCAGACCTGGAGGTTTTGGAAGTACTCCGGCCTAGTTCGTGTTCCTCCAGCACAACACCATTCCCCGGTGAGCTCCCTTTCATGATATTGTTCTGATCCCGCTCCCATCCGACCCGGCGCTTGACGAGTTGATGAGCTTGTGGGAGGGCTCTGGTACGTTCCCTCAGCCGGATTTCGATGCTAGTACGTTCGACCAATTACCACCCTTGCCCCCACCTCCACCAGAATCCCCTCCCCCGATGGCCCGAGCAGTCGAACAGCCAGAGCCCGGCCCGAGCGCCCCGAAATCGTGTCACGGTCCTCGACAAGAGGCTGATGTCTCGCATCCTTCCGACCGATTCTAAATGTGTCCGAGGCTCAAGCGAACTTAAACGGCGCATGGATGGCGATGAGATCTCGGACCGAGTCCAGAAAAGGGCCAAGTAAGGTAAGTACTCAAAATTCTTTCCCTCATCCGTTCTTTGATTCGTTACTTACATGGCTTCTAGGATTCAATCATGGCGCTCTGCCCAAGATATTTACTCATACACTATTCATTTTCTCAATGCAATACTATTGTCTTGAACGAACTCTGTTTCAACTTAAATTTCGGTAGTATGCCGTCACTGTGTATCCGCACGAATACGGCACATTGTAATTGATTGTACCGTATTTGAAAGAATGTGCCGTGCGTGCGACGTAATGTACCGGACTTCCAATGTACCTACGTTACGAGTTTGGCTATTCCCGAAGCGGATCCCACAACCTTTTTATTTATATTTCTTGCATCAGTTGCCGGCCCTGTGCGTGCGCTATCCTGCGTGCACGCTTTATTGCGAAGGCTCACTAGTCCGGATTTTTTTTACTGGTATGTAAATCTGAGCCTACACACTTATCCCGGACTGAATACCAGAAATGTGCATCGGGTTCTGATTCAGTCGATGTTTTCCCCTTCAGCCAATAAATAACCCGAAATAGATTTGAAACAGCGTACAGATATTTCTGTTTTCCATGGTGTGTTTCGTGGTACTCTCAATTGTGTATTAATTCTAATTTCTGCGCCGTCAACTTGTCAAACAGGTAAACATTTTTTTGGGGGCTCATTTACCCAGGTATTGAATACTAGAAGCATGGCAGGAAGGCGCAGGGTGCGCATCGGGTTTGAACATTTTACAATAGCCCGAAGGTCCCCCCCCCCGTGGTCCTGCTATGCCTGGCTTGCCACAGTGTTTTTTTTTTTTCTTTCTATTTTTCTGACGGCGTTTCGGCATCCTGTTCGTCCATAAATAGGGTTTTTTTCTGGGAAAGATTTGGCGATAGTGACGGGTGAGTTCCACGCTCGATTGATTTCTTTCCACACTCGATTGATTTTTTTTTGTTTCCACTACCGAATCCGAACCCAGGCGGGCATCATTTTGCCTAGGACTTGAGTGATGTAAGAAAGGCAGGAAGGCGCACGGTGCGCGTCGGGTTCTGTTGTAGCCTTTCATAGCGTCAACCTGAAGGTCCCCGTTCGACTCGGGGTCCTGCTATTCACCTCGTAGTGTTTTTTTTCTTCTTTCTATTTCTCTATTTTTCTGACGCATGCTATTCGTCCATAAATAGGGGTTTTTCTTGGAAAGATTTGGAGATAGTGACGGGTGAGTTCCATGTTCAATTGATTTTTTTCCACACTCTATTGATTTTTTTGGTCTACACTACCGAATCCGAATCCAGACGGGTGTCACCTTGCCTACATCTATCCTGGAGCTGGGTAGTAGGAGGAAGGCAGGAAGGCGCATGGTGCGCGTTGTGTTCTGTTGGATTCCTCTCTCGAACATCAACCCGGAGGTCCCCGTTCGACTCGGGGTCCTGCTATTCGCCTCGCAGTGGATTTTTCTATTTTTCTGACGCATGCTGTTCATCCATAAATAGGGTTTTTCTGGAAAAGCTTTGGCGATATATCCATGGGAGAGTTCCATGTTCGATTGACATTTTTTCCATACATGATTTATCTTTCTTTCTACACTCGATTGATATTTTTACACTAACAAATTCGAAGGTGAACCCAGACGGGCGTCATTTTGCGTACATCTATCCAGGACCTGAGTGGCAGGAGGAAGGCAGGAAGGTGCACGGTGCGTGTGCAGCGATAACAGGATCGGACTCAACTCGCAAGGAGAACGGAGCGCAGTGTGCCCAAGAGCCCTGGATATGCGTCGTGACACTGCGTGGGGATGGAGCGCACAGCGATAGTGGGACTAGACTCGACACGCGAGGATAGTGGAGCGCGGTGTGCCAAAGAGCACGGTCGGTGTGGGAGGCAGGCTATCCGCCTGAGTCGTGGTGATGCACCTGCCCAGACACAGCGATGGCGTGCAGCGCACAGCCAGCGACAGTGGAATCAGAGTCGCGGGCCCAAGGTGCGGGAGCGTACGGCGTGCAGACCATGCGCCCGCGCGGTGATGGGCAGCGGGATGCGGGCGACAACAGGGGCGGAGGAGCACGTCCCCCGCGCCGTAGATATGCGCTGGGACCAGCGAAGACATGCAGAGGTGGAGCAGTGGGATCAGATTCGCAAGGGCGGTGTGCTCAAGGTGCGGGAGCGCGCTCCCGAACCGTGGTGGTGCACCGGGACACGGTGACAGCGAGGGGATGGTGCGCACGGCCACTTTGGACCCGGGGACACTGCGACGACTGTGACGCCACAACCATGCTATCGAGATTCAAGGTGGGTGGGACTGTGCGCCGAGGAAGGCGATGCTCCCCAGCCGAAATCCAATATTCAGGGACGGCACTGCGCAGTGACGGAGGATTAGTAGGTCTGCGAATATTGTCATCAGCATGCCCCAGGCCGTATATACCTCTGTACGGAAAATTTGAATAGGCACCTTGGGTATTAGCACGGGTGGATTATTTAAACGTCATGTCGCGCGTGCGTGCCTAGATTCCGCCGTGGGGGCGAAAGGGAGGGGTGGGGTGAAGTCCAGGTTGTGCATGCCCGAAGTCCGTGGCATCCGGTGCGTAGTCGTAGTGCAGAAGTGCCCAGAGTAGTCGAATGACGTAGGTTGGTGATGGTCTGAGCGAAATCGGCCACGCATCATGGTTTCGTGCAAAGACTAAAAAGACTACGTCGGGTGTCTGGAATAGTCGAAGCCTCTAGCAGCTCTGGGTATCCGTGTAGGACTCCAACAACGTGTAGGCAGATTCTTTATATACATATACTTCCTTCACCACCATGGCCAGAGACGGCAGGAAATGGAGGACATCTCAGTAGAGCCCAATTGCACGTTAATCGGCCCCATTCTGTTTCATGGAACCCAGTAGTAGAGCATTATGTTTCGTGCAGCATGGGTGCGCTCCGAGTCCTCAGGCCTGAGAGTCAAGGGAGGACGAGCAAACAGAGATTTTGAGGTTGGTTGGGAAGAAAAAGAAACGTGATTGGTCATCCGGGGAATGCCGGCTGCTCTCTCCAAAATAGTGCTGGCAAGGTTCGGTTCGGTTCAGGTTCAGGGCCTTTCACCCTGAACGCCGAACCTGAACGTGGCGTTCGGTTCGGGCAACTCCCGAACCTTGAACCTGAATGCGCGTTCAGGTTCAGTTCGGCGTTCGAATGCGTTCGAACCTGAGGCAGTTCGGCCATCTCGGGCGGCTGAAATTTCATTGAAAATATCACACACCAGAATTTTGCAGTGCTCTGGTGGTTGGAAAAGGTATCTCACATGCCTTGGCTAGTGTCGAGACGCCTGCTTATGATCAACTATCCTCGCGCAAGTTTACTAGAAGATTACGTGACAACAAACCGTCATCCCATAACATCGAAACTGCCTTGAATTTTCCTCGAAGGGAAGGATCAGGTATATTTTGCAGTGGTTAAATGCTCAGGCTATGGAGTCTGAGGTAAATCGAGCGCGAAAAATGGAGAAAACTCATGTAGAAAGCACTTACATTACCAATTTCAGGTTCGGCGTTCGAACACGCCTGCTTTCCCCCGAACGCTGAACCGAACCTTTGGTCCAGGTTCAAGCATTTGCTGAACCTGAACGCCGAACGCGCGTCCGGTTCAGGTTCGGTTCAGGTTCGAACCGATTTCCGAACTGAACCTTGCCACCACTACTCCAAAACCACCATCTTGAAGTTCGAGCTGAGAGTTTCATCTCGTCAGAATAAGTAGTTGGGAACGACGATGGTGCGCGTGTTGGGTTTACTCGAGTCCTCGTTACGTGTGAGCTCCAAACCCGTTTTTTGTAGTATTTACACGTTGGTGAATACGTGGCGGTCCCTCCTCATTATTTTTGGCCTCCTAACCAGGAATCTAACTGGAGAAAAGAGGCAGGAAGGCGCACGGTGCGCATCGGGTGTACATAGATATATATTGTCTTGGTCTTTAACCCGAAGGTCCCCGTTCGACTCGGGGTCCTGCTATTCCGGGTGCGCCGCAGTTTTTTTTTCTTCTTCTGTTTTTCTGACGGTGTTTTAAATTCGGCATGCTGTTCGTCCACAAATATGGTTTTTTCTAAGATTCGACGATAGTGACGGGTGAGTTCTATGTTCGATTGATTTTTTTTCCATACCCGATTGATTTTTTTTTGTTTACACTACCGAATCCGAACCCAGGCAGGTGTCATTTTGCCTATATCTATCCTGGATCTGGGTGGTAGGAGGAAGGCAGGAAGGCGCACGGTGCGCGTCGGGTTTACCTGGCGTCTTCAAGCCTCTAAGGCTGTAATCCGAAAGTCCCCGTTCGACTCGAGGTCCTGCCGTTCAAGTCAACCTTTGGGTTGTTTTTCCTCTTTTTTTTCTCTTTTTCTGCCGGGGGGTTTTTTCTCGGAAAGACTTTACATGCTTTACACACGATCCCCACGTTCAGTTCCACGCTCGATTGATCTTTTTGGATCGATAGTTTGTTCGTTTGCAGTGGCATACCCAGGCGGGCGCGTGATTCTTCCTGCATCCATCCTGGAGCTGGGGGGCAGGAGGAAGGACACGGTGCGCGTTGGGTTCTGTTAAAACCTTTGGAACATCAACCCGAAGGTCCCCGTTCGACTCGGGGTCCTGCTATTTGCTTTGTAGTGGTTTTTTTTTAAAAAAAATTTGACGCATGCTGTTCGTCCATAAATAGGGGTTTTTCTTGGAAAGATTCGGCGATAGTGACGGGTGAGCTCCATGTTCGATTGATATTTTTTCCATACATGATTTATATTTCTTTCCACACTCGATTGATATTTTTTACACTAAAAAATCCGAAGTTGAACTACGAAGCATATCAGAATCAATGAAGCATGAAAATTTGAATCCTACGTACTGGTCCTAACGAGCAATAATAATCTTGTCGAAGCCTCCTTATCGACGAGGGAGCGAGCGTGCGAAGAGGGAGTGAACGTGCCGATAGAGCTTGTAGTCTAAGTCGCCGCCATTCTTGCTCCATTCCGGCACCATCCGGGCGGTGCTTTCACACCAACCACAACGAGAGCGCAAAATACACCTGATGAATGTCAGAATAAATAAAGGACATCTGCATCAACAGCCCAACCGACCTGGATAGCCACCCATGGCCAGTAGATGATGCGCGGAGTGTGCGTCTGTCTTCATTCGGATAATGCTCGCGTTTCAATGGTTTCTCTTCCTTTGTGGAAGCCACCACCGCGCGCGGATACAAAGCGAAGGCGTGCAGGGGCGGAGCACGCAGCCAGCGACAGTGGGATCGGGCTCGACGCGCGAGGATTGCGGAGCGCGGTGTGCCCAAGAGCACGGTCAGTGCGGGAGCGTGCGGCGGGTAGGCTATGCGCCGAGCCCAGAGACAGTGAAGGCGTGCCGGGGTGGAGGCGTGCAGCCAGCGACAGTGGGATCAGCCTTGCGGCCGTGGTGTACGCAAGGTGCGGGCAGGCTGCGCGCGCGCGCCATGGTGTGCAGCGGGGCGCGAGACGTGGGCGACAAAAGCATGGCGGAGGAGCTACGTCGCGCACCCGGGCAGCGATAACGGGATCAGATTCGCGAGCGCGGTGTGTCCAAAGTGGGGGAGCGCGCTCTCGGGCCGTGACGCGAGGAAGATGCGGCGCCCGCTCCACACGCTTCCCCCAACCGCATTCACGACACCACGACGCCTTCCCACCGCGGGCGTGCGTAGTGAGCACAGGACGCCGGCGTGGGACGACAAAGGATTGCAGAGGAACACATCTCACGCGCCGGGACGCAGCGAAGGTGTGCAGGGGTGGAGCCGTGGAATCAGACCCGCAACGGGCGCGGTGTGCCCAAGGTGCGGTCAGGCTCGTGATGCACCCTAACACCGCGAAGGCTTTCACAACGCCGGCGGACGCGAGGAAGATGCGGATTCATCCCGCTCCACACGGACCCGCCAACCCACAGACACCGTTCGCGACGCCATGGCAGTGGGATCAGACTCGCAAGGGCAATGTGCTCAATGTGCGGGAGCGCGCTCTCGAACCGTGGTGGTGCACCGGGAGAGTGGCGGCGAGGGGATGGTGCGCACGGCAACTTTGGACCCGGGGACACCGCGACGACTGCGACGCCACAACCGCGTCTATCGAGATTT